CAATCTTTTCAGGACAAACCATCTCATATATTGTTTGAACTAGCCAATCAAACATCGAACTGTATAGCAATCTAAACCCATGATTAAACGTTATTCCAAACATACACACCTTTTGAATTAAATAACACAAAAAATAAATTGATATTAAATTTCCTTTTCCTATGTATTTAGTAACGATAAATCAAATGTGTTTGATTAGGTGTAGGCGATGTGAACAAGATGTTGAAGGACGGCAATTTCAATTTTCAATCCTAGGAAGGAAGTTGTAAAAAATGCCACGCTTACAATTGAGACATTATGTGAGATGGGTCATAAAATGTGTGCTTGCAGAGTGAAATTATTTTCAAGAAACTTCAATCAAACTTGCTAGGAGTGACATTTTGCCAGGACCTATTTCTTTTCAATGTGATCGTTCAGCGCGCACACGTTTAAACGCTTAATCCAGTCAGTTTGTGTCCTGGCATTGTGGTAAAGGTAAGGCAACACAAGAAAAATAAGTGTGTGTCGGGCACATTATAAGTGAGGAGGGCGGAAGATTGAAAACAAAAATAACGCGGGAGCCAGACTTATTAATATTATTTTCTTCACCAAGACAACAAACGAACAATGGGCACACTCGGCCCTTTAATATAATGTCAGTTGTCAAAATTTATTTCACGGATAACAGAGTATGCTTCAAACGACACGGGCATTATATCAATATATACTTTTCAAAATATATTTTTGTTGGCAATAAAAATGACTGAATTTTAGAGTGACGCACCTTCTTGAACCTAAACGAAATAAGGTTGAGTGACAATTCTTTTATAAACCTTCTCTTTTCTGTTTCTCAGTGAGTCATGATAAAGGTGAGATAAAATTCAGTTTAAATCATATCACGGACAACGTTGACATTTACGATATATACAACGTTGGTGACCACCACGACCACGAGTATAGTGCAATCAAAACAAGGATCATAATCAGGGCGAGTCTGGAATTTGAACCCGCTGTCATCGGATCCTGCCACGACTGAGGGAAACAAGTCTGTTCAGCGAATAACTGTCCAGCGGATGTGAAGCCCATTCTTACCACCCATAACTGTTATTTAAATGTAGTTTGCAGATAGGAGACCTGTTCGTAGTTTAGTCATAAAAGTTACCGCCACACTACTGTGCGTTATGCGTAGTCATAAAAGAAAATGTTTCCTTTGAACTTCCACAGTAGAACGTCACAGCATAGAACAAACCAACAGTTCAGACACGTCAAGCAGTTTACTGCTAATAAAATAATATAAACGTCAAGAAAGAGGAGAGAATAAAGAGTCTGGCGATGAGGGGGGCCTCAATGTAATATTGCAAAGCAGGTAGAAACGTTTCACCTTGAGACAAGAACAGAAATGAGTGGGCGTGGGGGCATGCTACTGCGTGATGTTGAACAGGTGGTATGATCTTACTACCAGTCAGGATGTTGGCTGCGTTGCATTCATAACACAATAAGTTTGCATATTTCCTCCTTGCAATTCTTCTCCCTCATATGTATTGTCTTCTTCTTGTCCATACATTTAAGATTTTTTTTTAAACCCATACCTTCACCCAATTGTCCTTCCTTTATGCTGCACAAACACGCACACATACGCGCACGCACACACACACGCACGCAAATACGCACGCAGACACGCCGGTACACGCATCTATCAGATAGCTCACATAAGTCATATTATTCAGTGACTGGCTTTATGGAGGGATTGGACGTCCACCATGTGTCCACACACGCACGCACGCACGCACGCACACACACACACACACACGCGCGCGCGCGCGCACGCAATCACGCACGCAAACAAACAAACAAACAAACACACACACACAAACATGTAAACAAACATACACACAAACAAACACACATACGCAAACACACACACACATAAACAATCTCACACACATACATTCACACAAATAGACACACACAAATACGCACACAATCACACACAGAGACGAAAACACCCATACAAGCGCGCGCACACACAAAGAGACAAACACTCACACAAACACACTCACACTCAAACGCAAACAAACAAACAAACACACACACACATCGTTAACACTATACATCTATAGTTCTAATCTGAACTCTCATTAGTACTACGTTAATGGACATCCGTCTCATTGCATCAGTTGCATTGGAATGTTGCATTTGTCGTCCCGACCACTTGTCATTAATCGCTATGCTAATGTACCTCCGAGAGTTATGAATTTAGAGCTGAAACCTTCTCCTATGTAGATGAACAACCGTGCCTTTCACACCACCCTCCCTTCTTTAAGGGAGGGCACGCTCAACTCTTTGTTGCCCAGTACTTTTGAAGTGAGTGAGGTTTAACACCGCTTTCAACAGTATTTCAGTTGTATCAGGGCGTGTCAGTTTGATGTGGGAGGAAAGCCCGAAGCAATGCTTGATGCTGGTGTCTATGTGAAGACGTAACTATTTCCCATTGTGAAACTGAGGCAATATCTCTATGTACTAATGGCAATAATCAATTAATACTTGTTTAAGTTAACAGGCCAAAAAGAGGTTTTTGAATTTCTTGAAGAAAACATTCCAGAAGCCTCATCCCATAAGGACTGATATTGTACTGATTGAACCCGACAATTACAAAATCTTACTCTGTAGGTAAGCTGACTGATTTGGTCACAAAAGAATCTAGCCTAGTTTACTCATTGTTTTTTTACCATTATGCATTCTAGACTTCTTGATGTAAACGCTAGTTATACTTATTGTATGTGACCTTTAAACATTCTAGCCGTCTTGATGTAAACGCTAGTTATACTTATTGTATGTGACCTTTAAAAATTCTAGCCGTCTTGATGTAAACGCAAGTTATACTTTTTGTATGTGAACAATAAACACTCTAGCCTTCTTCATGTAGACGCAAGTTATACTTATTGTATGTGACCATTAAACACTCTAGTCTTCTTGATGTAAACGCTTGTTATACTTATTGTATGTGACCTTTAAACACTCTAGTCTTCTTGATGTAAACGCTAGGTATACTTATTGTATGTGACCATTATACAATCTAGTCTTCTTGATGTATACGCTAGGTATACTTATTGTATGTGACCATTATACACTCTAGTCTTCTTGATGTAAACGCTAGTCATACTTATTGTATGTGACCTTTAAACACTCTAGTCTTCTTGATGTAAACGCTTGTTATACTTATTGTATGTGACCTTTAAACAATCTAGTCTTCTTGATGAAAACGCTAGTTATACTTATTGTATGTGACCATTAAACACTCTTGTCTTCTTGATATAAACGCAAGTTATACTTATTGTATGTGACCATTATACACTCTAGTCTTCTTGATGTAAACGCTAGTTATACTTATTGTATGTGACCATTATACACTCTAGTCTTCTTGATGTATTAGCTAGTAATACCTATTGTATGTGACCATTATACACTTTAGCCTTCTTGATGTAAACGCTAGTTATACTTATTGTATGTGACCATTATACACTTTAGCCTTCTTGATGTAAAAGCTAGTTATACTTATTGTGTGTGAACATTATACACTCTAGTCTTCTTGATGTAAACGCTAGTTAAACTTATTGTATGTGAACATTATACATTCTAGCCTTCTTGATGTATTAGCTAGTTATACTTATTGTATGTGAACAATAAACACTCTAGTCTTCTTGATGTAAACGCTAGTTATACTTATTGCATGTGAACATTATACACTCTAGTCTTCTTGACGTAAACGCTAGTTATACTTATTGTATGTGACCATTATGCATTCTAGTCTTCTTGATGTAAACGCTAGTTAAACTTATTGTATGTGAACATTATACATTCTAGCCTTCTTGATGTATTAGCTAGTTATACTTATGGTATGTGACCATTATGCATTCTAGTCTTCTTGATGTAAACGCTAGTTAAACTTATTGTATGTGACCATTATGCACTCTAGTCTTCTTGATGTAAACGCTAGTTAAACTTATTGTATGTGAACATTATACATTCTAGCCTTCTTGATGTATTAGCTAGGTATACTAATGGTATGTGACCATTATACATTCTAGCCTTCTTGATGTATTAGCTAGTTATACTAATTGTATTGAACCATTGAAGACCCTTGTCTTTTTTATGTAAACGCCAGTTATACTTAATGTATTTGACCATTTAATACTTTTGTCTTCTTGATACCAATATGGACCGCCTCCCTGGTCTGGTCGTTGCGCGTCCGAGGGCCGCGTCATTCCAAAAGACGTAAAAAGATGGTACTTGTTGTTACCCTGTCTGTTACCCCTGTGGGGTATTCATGTTAAACTGCGGCATGGTATCTCAGTGGGCGACAACTATAAATCGGCATCAGTCCGGACTAGTACAAGCAGCCACACGCAGGCACGCGCGCACGCACGCACGTGCATGCACCTCGCTCTATAAGTGTTATCATCTTGGACGCGACGTTAAACCCCATTTCACCTCACCTCACTTGATACAAATACAATTTGGTTGAATTTGACAATTAAACATTGGTAGTTATTTAATATAAATACGTCAGCCGATTGAATTGGATCATTTGACACCACATCCTTCGACAAAACGCTTATTGTATTGGAAGCTATATTAATTAAATGTCACCATAAAACAGCAGGAGCATGTTTCATGTTTACGATACATTTGGAAAGATCAACACTAAAACATTCTCACCTGAAGTATGGTTTAACGTATGTACACTCAACTACTCTTTGAGTGGTAAATACTAGTGAAGCTGTTTGCAACATCTGAATCCTCCAATCACACTTTCTATCCTACACATTCCATCCCTCCTAAACACTTCATCTTAGGTTATGTAAAAGCACTTAACGATCGCAACCGAACCCGCCCGCCCTTCAGTTAACCATGTCCTGAAGTTAGCTGCCCTAAGACCCGACTCCGTACAAATGACCGTTTAATGAACATATTCCGTTCATCTTGAAACTCAGCTGTGCGCGACAGTTCTGTCAATCAAGCTCTGCGAGTAATGTACACCACGTTACGATGGATGATTAACGCGCGGTACCTCCCCTTTATAAGCGTGTATCGGTTCTGTCTCTCTATATATATCCCAATTATGCAGTGCAAACTCAACGCTACAACCACCTGTAGGTAACACGGACGCCGACCGCTGGACAACGAACTCACCATGCCATACGACACAGCTGAGGCGAGCGGACTGCGAGACCAGTGACTGTCGCAGCCGTGTTTCAGGGGGGTTCTCAGCGTCCGTCAGCGACAAAGCTGGTTGATTTAACTGAGCGGAGTACTTTAGGAACGATCGGGACACTATGGCTTCCAACGGAGGGAGAGCTGAGAACGGCATCGCCTTGACGAGTAGTAACATTGCCCTTACAGAAAAGCCAGCCATCACGTAAGTACCTTATAGTATAAGTCCTATCAATATTCCTATTCGTTGGAAGTATGTATATTGAGTGTGGCACCGCGATGGTAAACCGCTTTTGTGTTATTCGTATTTAAGCTTGCTATAGGTGTTTAATATCCGTAGAAATATTCCAGTGACCACGAAAATGTTTTGTAATTGTTCACCTTCGAGGTTCGGCAATTGTACACTTATTGAATGCAGAGAGGAACAAACCATGTAGAGGTATCTGTTGTGTTAAGTGTTTGTTGTACATCTACTATAGTCAACACTGTTTATAACGGACTCATTTTACCTTTATATTATGTTGTTCTATTCAGTGTTCGTTATGCAAATAACAGTCGCTATATGGCTGATATTTTCGTTCCTGGCAATTATTACCAATGACACGTTAAATTGAAACTAAATCATTATTACCAATACACAAACACATTCCCTTCACCAATGCTCTTAATAATGAGTCTTGGCTACAATCGATGTTTCCCTGTGCTCGATTTCGTAATTACAGAACATACACCTTATGTAACAGCCTAATTATTCCGAGTTGATTGTTATAATACAAAGACCACAATGACGCATATCCTGGGATTCTTGTATAATCGTTCATCCTGCAATTCAGCAGATATGTATATATATATATATATAAAATGAGTGTGAATTCACGATGCCAACGAGATCAAATGTCAGCGCACCGCAATGACGTCAGAAATCAGTTTGGCACCAATTGTGTAACTTAAGGTCGTTATTCTATTACAGAACACGTTCCAGAATATGCATATTCCAAACATCACGCGTCTGAAACAGTCAATCAGTCGAGGCGTTAAACATATTCCAGGTGCACACTGAATACGGCATCGCTTTCTCGCGAGAATAACTAGTTTTTATTCACGGCGTTCAATCAGTTTAAACAGATAAACAAATAAAGTGAGAAAAAATCCTATTATTTGTCGTTTTGATGCCCCTGAGTGCGAAATAATACACCAGCGATATAATCACGTTGTTACAGGGGGGAACTCAAGGCGAGATGTTCGTGGTGTGTTGTCTCTTGGCACAAGAGAAACAAAGGCGGTTTCTTTGATGTTTTCAGAGCCATTGTCGGTTTATCATTTGAACATTGGTCGTTATTTCACATGCAGAGCAACATGATTTACTACTTTGAATTATTCAAGCATATTTGAATACATAAACTCGGTTCGGTAATGAGGACACGCGTCATAGACTCGGATGACAGAATACAGATATTAAGAAAATATTTTTTCTCCTCGGTGCGACATATACTTGTCAGTATAAGTCATGATGCTAATCTGCCTTTGGGCGATGATTGGATCACGCGTGTCAGAACACTCCCCGTGACTCGGTCCTTGATGAACAGCGGTACTAATTTATTTCACGGACGTAAACTGCAGTCGTGGTGGATTGTTACGTTTAATTTCCGGATTTTGAAATGAATGAATAAGAGATAGTTTTAGATCGCCTTATAAATGAAGATACGCAGCTGACACTGATTATGGAAACACATGGCAGTGAATTGTGTTGAAGTCAAACCCGGATCTCACCAAGTAGACTACACATATAGTGCACTCTTTGTCTTGCTAAGGTATGGATGGGGGTAGCTCGGTTGCATCGACGTTTGTCATGGGTATCAAATACCCGAGTTCTATACATGGGTGGTATGGGGTAGCTCAGTGGCCCAAGCATTCGCCATTTCAGTCATCTACCCGGGTTCTATAAAGGAGTTTGGGTACCACAGAAGCCAAAGGATTCACTCGAGTTCCGAGTTCCGAGTTCCGAGTTCCGTAAAGGGGTGGTGTGACGTAGTTCGGTGACCAAAGCGGCCCAATACTCGGATTCTACAAAGAGGCGGTGTGCGGTAGCCCAACGACGAAAGCGCTCTTTCTTGACGTCAGATAACCGGGTTTACAAAGGGGTGGTATGGGCTGCCAAAAACTTGCTTTTTTAAATTCGTTCAATAGACACAATAAGGTTATTTATACTGAGGTGATATATCAACAAAGTTGACTTAACGTGGCATTGAACAGAATTCCACTAAAATAGCACCGCAGTTTACAACGGCAGTTTACAAAGGGATCGTGCTGACAGACCACACACACACACACACACACACGCACGCGCGTGAAATCACAAGTTTCAAGTAAAATCTGTCATTTTCTCTTCACTAATGATTACATTTTGCACAAAACCTGAATCCGATGTTAAAAATTTGAACATTTTGTTGTTGTCTTCGATCTTTCTTGTTCGGTGGATGACAGCAAGGGACGTAACTCCTCCTTCAATCTAAATGATCCGGACCTAAACTCAACTTTAGATTGCACTGTATGTACATTTGCTACGTAGTTACTAACTATATATACTGCTGTTGCCTCGCGGGAAACTTTATGATGTGAAGTAAAGTGATGTGTAGTCTAGACAAGAGATTGGATACGGCTGGGTTTGAAATCAAGGGGTTTTATGTCCGGAAGTCATTCATGCTTGCGTCATAAGACTGACGAACAATTTCCTAAGTCATTCTTCAACTGGAGAGTTAATGCAAAGCTGATTTTTTCCCCAGCGGTCTTATCACAACATTTCTTCAAGAACAAATTAAATAACAGTTCATCGTTTTCTGGCTGTGCAGGGGGAGTGCATGTGGTCACACGTCTGAGCTATCATTGCAGGAAAACAGGTTGTTAGTAAGGTTGTGGCCTTATGATTGAAAGTGTACCGATTTCATTGAATGTTTATCGTTATGATTGAAAGTGTAGCGATCTCATTGAAGGTACAACGTTATGATTGAAAGTGTAGCGATCTCATTGAAGGTACAACGTTATGATTGAAAGTGTAGAGATCTCATTGAAAGTTTAGCGTTATGATTGAAAGTGTAGCGTCCTCATTGAAGGTGTAGCATTATGATTGAAAGTGTAGCGTTCTCATTGTAGGTACAACGTTATGATTGAAAATATAGCGTTCTCACTGAAGGTGTAGCGTTATGATTGAAAGTGTAACGTCCTCATTGAAGGTGTAGCGTTATGATTGAAAGTGTAGCGTTCTCATTGAAGGTGTAGCGTTATGATTGAAAGTGTAACGTCCTCATTGAAGGTGTAGCGTTATGATTGAAAGTTTAGCGTTCTCAGTGATGGCGTAGCGTTATGATTGAAAGTGTAGCGTTCTCATTGAAGGTGTAGCGTTATGATTGAAAGTGTAGCGTTCTCATTGAAGTTGTAGCGTTATGATTGAAAATGGAGCGTTCTCATTGAAGGTACAACGTTATGATTGAAAGTGTAGCGTCCTCATTGAAGGTGTAGCGTTATAATTGAAAGTGTAGCGTTCTCATTGAAGGTGTAGCGTTATGATTGAAAGTGTAGCGTTCTCATTGAAAGTGTAGCGTTCTCATTGAAGGTGTAGGGTTATGATTGAAAGTGTAGCGTTCTCATTGATGGAACAACGTTATGATTGAAAGTGTAGCGTCCTCATTGAAGGTGTAGCAATATGATTGGAAGTGTAGCGTTCTCATTGAAGGTGTAGCGTTATGATTGAAAGTGTAACGTCCTCATTGAAGTTGTAGCGTTATGATTGAAAGTGTAGCGTTTTCATTGAAGGTGTAGCGTTATGATTGAAAGTGTAGCGTTCTCATTGAAGGTGCAGCGTTATGATTGAAAGTGTAGCGTTCTCATTGAAGGTGTAGTGTTATGATTTGAAGTGAAGCCTTATCATTAAATGTGTAATTTCATTGGAGGTGAAGCGTTATGATTGAAACTATAGTGTTCTCATTGATGATGTAGCATTGATTGAAAGTTTAGCGTTCTCAGTGATGGCGTAACGTTATGGTTCAAAGTATTGCTTTCTCTTTGATGGCGTAGTGGTATGATTGAAAGTGAAGCGTTCTCGTTGACGGCGCAGGATTATTTTTGAAAGTGTGACGTTTTCACTGAAAGTGTCAGGTTATGATTGAAATGGTACAGTGTTATGAATCAAAGTATAGCGATTCCATTGACGGTATAGCGCTGTGATTAAAGGTGTAGCGTTCTGATCATCTCCCCGAGCAAGGGAGTTAACTGACTATAACTATAACACATGGGGTTACATTTTGACTGGACTTACGAGTCTATGCATAGTCCAATCAAAATCGCGCAACGAAATCGAAATCCGATTCGTAAACTGTCGCGTAGAGTTCGGTCGATTGCAGGATTTGCAAAGCATGTGCACCGTCAACTCCTTGTCAACAGATATTTTACACATCTTTTCATGTTTTTAATCAAGGTGCTCGCGTGATTTGATGCACTTCGCGATGTAAGACCCGTTTTATCACACTATAGATCTTGATTATCGGTCAGATCGTCTTGATTGGGCGCCGCCGTTTTGTTTGAAGCAAATGCAAGTGATATGAGAGGTGGAATCTGATTGGTCCATGGGAGAGGCTTAGAAGGGACATAACTCGTAAAAGCCAGGTGGCGCTACTACCGAGCCCAGAAATTTCAGCCTAGTTCGGCAAGTCAGTTAACTCTCTGGCCTCGGGAAGATGCGTTCTGATTGATGGCATTTAGCCTTATGGATGAAGGTGAAGCCTTATCATTAAAGGTGTGACCTTACCATTGGTGACATTGAATTAACATTGGAGGTACAGCGCTATATATAATTCATTGCCTGGGATATCATTGACGAAAGAGCGTTCCGCTGCAGGAGTAGCGTTATAGTTAGCAGTGTAGAGTATATAATGTGACAATTGTATCAAAAAGAACCTTTTGGGGTGGATCATTTGACATCCTCTGTGTGCATGGTGGTGATGTTAGTGGTGGTGGATTTCGTATGGAGAGTATGATTTCATCAGGCCCAGTTGGGTGGATTACCTGTAACCCCAACGGAGAATACTCCTCACACCGGGAGCTCTGAACCTACCCGACTGTTGTATCCATGGCGTTTAACGGGGTCCAGGCACCGGTCATTGCCATGTACAGACAGCATGACGCATCCCGCCGAACAAGGAATTAACCGCA